CTATAAAGTGTGGGAAATCCCATCTTAGATGTTTTCACCAGAACGTGTACCCCCATTGTAAAAATTCCCCTCACCCTTTGTTCTGGTGATAACTATAAAATTATGTAATTCCCAACTCTACTGTTTTGGAAAAGTTGTCACCAGGGCAAAGAGGGAAGGAGTAAATCTACCTACACCACTAACAATAAACCCTAATTCTATCCCAGACTGAAAAAGAGCTTTGGCTATAGATTCACTTTAATTTTCAAAGGATATGTGTAGAAGCTGTGTTTTTCAGTTTGACATGACATTACTTCTATGGGAAATACGTATATATCTGATATTAGTGTCTGTTGTAAACTATTTAATTAGATTTCTGAAATAAACTCTATGACATTTTTTTTGCCTTATCTCTCATAAATTGGCATAGATAATAGTTTTTTTTTTTCAGTTGCAGTGGTGAGCGATTCAGTCCCAAAGGAAACATGAGGCACCTGCTTCTGTCAGTCAGTACCAGAATCCCATTTATACCTGTCACTCACAGATTACTGTAGTAGTGCATCTCTATGAATAAAGAAAAACTCAAGTTGCATGTTAGCAGTACATATACCTCAAAGAAGGTGACATGAACTGAAGGGTTCAACTCATGAGGGTTGATTTACTAAAGGCTAATAGACTTCATTTTGCAATGTAGTTTTCACCTTGCAAGGGGATTTTGAATACGAATTTGCAGTGTGAAGCTCTGCTACTTCTATCATCTAGTCATTAAAATGCTGTTTTTTATATCCCTTGCACATAATTTATTATCCTTTGCTAAGTGAAGTTTTACTGCATTTACTAATCTATTCCTTTTGCAAGTGAACAGCTTATTTTCCTTTAGTAAATCAAACCCATGGAGTATGTTTTTGATGTTACATATCTAGGATGTCACTCCCCCAAGAAAAAGTCTGGGCAAGGAGATGATAAAACCATAAGTATGCTTTATAGTCTTTTGATAGAGGAACCATTTTCTTTCTTCTATTACCAGCAATGGATAAATGGGTGAAGTTCTCTGAAAGTATAATATCATGAAATAATGATTAGTGATACTCTCACGTCCCTCTTGGAGCACTGCAAAATGTGTTTATTTAGACAAGTAACAAACAAAAGTCTTTATTTTCATATTTGTTCCAGGTCAGTGACTTAAAGTATCGAAGACAGAGGGTCAGCTTAACCCTTATTTTTCATGTGTTAAGATGAGCATTGCCAACCTTCTTGTTTTTCTTATTACAGCTTTTCTTTAAGGAAAAGAATGTTCTTCCACTGGATACAGTAACTAATTAGATGTCATTGCTAGTAATCCAAAACAGTTTTAGAGTACTGGGTGTCCTCTGACCATTTAAAAACATTTCTCATAGTAAGTTAAAATTAATAGTCACTTACATATATTTAAAAACAATGCTTAGACATAAGATGTGCAGGATACAGTGATATGCAGACATGTACAGTGCTCCAAAAAATTATACTTCACAGCTGTGTATTCATTGACCCAGTGGGAGGGTGCAGATTCGAAGTGCAATTCACCAAATAACACATTTCAATTGCATGGCAAATTCATGCATCTCCCATTACTGCTATGTCTGCTATGTGTTGCTGGCATGTATGCAATGTGCTTCTTTCAAGCTGTCAGGAAATATGCGCATTAGTATCATAAAACAAGCCTTTTTCTTATAAGCTACATTAGCCATAAATTTGCTCATTAATGTGGAAGCAGTGGGAGTCAGACACTGGTGGGTCTTTAGCTGCCATTAGAGGTTTGACTTATTTACTCCATGCAAGTGCACACACTTTAGGCACGGTGTAAAACACAAGTCATTCTCAGCAACAATTCATAAGCAAATTAATGCAATAAAAGGATTCTGGGATACATGGCAGAAAACAGTTGTCATTGGGGACCTGTTTGAATTTCTCTGATACTTGCATATTGATCCACTCAACCACAGCTGTTGGTATGTTATCTATGATGAATTATATTAGGTTTCCGGCTGAAATTTCAATTGAAGATTTGCTAAGAACATTGATTAAGTCAATGTCAATCAATGGTGTGAGTCCCTTACAGCTTTAAAGGCACAGAAGGATGCTTTTGCAAGGATGCTTTAAATGACACACCGATTGTGCTCTTGTTCTTCTGACTTGTCTTCTTTAAAAGAAATTGACATTTTTTTATGCACATTGTAGTTGAAATGTTACATAAACATAGTCAGAAAGGGACACAAATGCACATCATCTATACAAATCCTGAAGCAAGTAAACACGTCATCTAAAAATGCATAGTGGAAAAAGAAATCAACAATTTTATTTTTGCCTGATAACCATGACAGAAAACATGCCATAGGTGAAAAATACAGAGATAGGTATTGTTCACTTCTATTAAAAAATACCATCTACCTTCTTATGGCCCTAGCTTTCTTGCCTTAAAGGAGAAGTACAACCAATGCTCTTTTGGCTTTACTTCTGTGGATCACAGGAGTGCAGTTCTTGCAGCACTTCTGTGACCCATTTTAGGCTAACAGCGGGCTGAAGGCTGCTGTCAGCTGACTTCATTCAGCTGATCCAGGCTGTGAAAAGATCCAGACTTTAAGGTTAGACAGAAGTGCGTATTGGCGCAGGAGAGGTAGTGGTGGGTATGTAATTCATAAAAGTCTTTATGGAGATCGAGGTAGTTCAGTTTTTAGGAGAACATGTGGACTTCTCCGCGAGAGGTCTGATGAAAAGGCTGTTTGCCTTGAAATGCATCACCGCCCCTTCCTACAGCTCCACGCTACGTCGTGACGTCATTTCTACATGGTGGCCATCTTGGCTGTGCTCCAAGCTGGCTCTGATACGTGACTAAACACATGCTGGTGTGAGAGGCCAGGAACACCTGTCCAGAGCCCGGTTCTTCACCTGCACCGCGACTCCCTGGACACTCACCTGCCCTTCTCGCTCCTCCACTGGAACCCCACTAAGGTGCGCCAGCCACTACGTGAGCCTTGGCCCCTGGTACCATCCGCTCCAGATGTCCAGCCCAGATGACGTCTAAACTGTTACCCCCTCCTTACTACACTTAGTCTGGCGCACCTCTCTCTCCTCTAGACTTTAAGGTTACCCCAGAGCCTGGAGTGACACCTGGCTCAGTGATCCGCTGAGAGCCTGAGCCAGTTGCTCCCCCCCCCTTCATAGCCCAGCGCAGTGAGTGTGTGTGTGTGGGGGGGGGCAGAGCAGATGGTGGTGACTGACAGTGGCTGTCAGTGGTCATGTGATAGCTAAGTTCTCACCCTTAGAGCCGATAGGGGACAGATGCAGCATTGGACTGATGCTGATCCACCTAGGTAAGTATGCTTTACAAAAAAAAAAAAAGAAGCAATCCCACACTTCTCTTTTAATACTGTGTGTTGTTAGTAGCTAAGAATAACTATAAAGATAGTGATTTAAAGTATAAATAAATAGTTTTATTATTGCATATGAAACATTTACAAAAGAGAGTACTACTGTGCTGGTTATGGCTTAGCTGTTTTGCTTAAAGTTCATGCTCACTTTCTATCAAAACTCACCAACCCCCCCTTCCCTTCACATAGCGGTCCCCCTCTGGATCCAGGAGGTAGGTACAGGGGATACAGCTTTGTGTATTAATAGGGCTAGGGAGGGGGGCTGGGGGAAATTTGTTAGTTACAAAGGTGAACATGTACTTTAGACATAACAGCGTAACACCTAAGCCATAACCAGTAATATTTGTGCCCTCATTTGTAAATGTTTCCTATGTAATTACATAATGACCTGTGTGGTGCATGTGTACAATGTATACAACTACTAGTACAGCAAAACTGACATTTAGAGACGATAAAACATTTCTTCAACTGCTTTCTTGTGTTTGTAAACAGATGGCCGGTCTTATTTATACAAGACCCTTATCTTAGCTGGAGGTCTGAAATAGATGCTAAAGGTGACCCAACCCAAAAACCCGTATGTTTGCTTCCCATAGAAACACATACCAGACCTTTTTCCTTGAGGAGAATCTGGTATGACTGTAAGGGGGGACCCTTCCAAAAATAAAATGGTGTGAGCCCTCAAAATCTATAGCAGACCTGTTGATTCTGGTATAGATCTTATGGGGGAACACTACAAAAAAATGAAGAAAAATAAGCTTTGGGTCCCCACAAAAATATCTATACCAGATTCTTATCTGAGCATGCAACTTGGCAGGCCAGTAAAGGGGGGAAAAAGCGTGCACCCCTCGAAACCATACCAGGCCACATGCCCTCAACACAAGAGTGTATTTTGCTGGGGCAGACTCTCCATATTGATGCAGACAGGGGCCTTTTTCCGTTGTCCCAGTAGTTGTAAGGGGCCTGTGGACAGGGAGATATTTGGAATTTAGAATACTCATTTAACAAAAAGGGGTGGTCACAAGATACCACCCCCAGTGTGAATGAGTAAGGGGTACGTAGTACTACCTATTTGCTTATACGTACCTATTTACAAAAAGAGCAAAAAGTATAAAAACACTCTGGCACAGTTTTTGACAAGTCTTTTGTTAAAAAAAATTCAACAATTTTCAACTTTATTCACAAGAAGAACATCGGGGAACTGGAGAAAGTACAGAGAAGGGCAACCAAACTGATAAGAGGCATGGAGGAGATCAGCTACAAGGAAAGATTAGAGAAACTGAATTTATTTTCTCTTGAGAAGAGGAGATTAAGGGGGATATGATCAACATGTATAAATACATCTGTGGTTAATATAGTGAACTTGGTGTAAAGTTATTCACCCTGAGGTTGTCACAGAGGACAAGGGGGCACTCTTTATGTCTAAAGGAAAAGAAATTTAATCTCCAAACACGGAAAGGTTTCTTCACAGTGAGAGCTGTGAAAATGTGGAATAGACTCCCTCAAGAGTTGTTTCTGGCCACCTCAGTGGATTGCTTTAAAAAAGGCCTGGATTCTCTCTAGAGGGTACGATGCTCCACATTTGGTGGACCTGTCCAGTGGCCCGCCGCTTGTGGACTTGAGCAGGGCTTGAAATTTCCATGCCAATGGCGAGTGGAAATTATGGTGGGGGCGAGTGTGTCCCCCAGGGCCGTCTTGCTGAGCAGGCTCGGAGCTTAGGCTGGATCTGTCATTGGAACTGGGAGCCACCAGACTGCTCAATAGCTGAGCACAGTGAAAGCAAAGCAAGGAGTTTGTGCTGTGCTCTTTACCTCCCCCGAGAGTGCAGTACCCGGATCTGTGAGTGAACAACGAAGTACTGCAACTTTTTATGGGGGGGGTGGTGTGTGTGTGTATGTGTACATGTGTGTGTGTTTGTGTGTGTCTGTATATGCATGTACAATTGTACATGTGTCTGCGTGTATGCACATGTGTGTGTGTGTGTGTGTGCATGTACATGTGTGTGTATGTATGTACATGTGTTTGTGTGTACAATTGTACATGTGTCTGTGTATGTATGTACATGTGTCTGTGCGTGTGTATTTCTGTGTATGTACAATTGTACATGTGTCTGCGTGTATGCTTCTTAAGTCCCACCAGAGGTTCTCATCGGATTTAAGTCTGGTGACTGCGATGGCCACTCTCCAAAATGTTCCACTGTGTGTACATGTGTCTGTAAATGTGTGTGTATGTAGTGTACATGTGTTTGTGTTGTAACATGTGTCTGTTGTATGTATGGTACTGTGTGCTGGGTATGTACATGTATCTGTGGTGTGTGTTCTGTACGTGCCAGTATGTGTGTGTGTGTGTGTACATGTGTCTGTGTGTTTTGTGTGTGCATGTACATGTGTGTGTATGTATGTACATGTGTTTGTAGTGTACATGTGTCTGTGTATGTATGTACATGTGTCTGTGCGTGTGTAGGTTCTTCTGTGTATGTACATGTTGTTTCCTCTCATGTGACTTGTATACGTGTCTGTACGGACTGCCTGTGTGTGTACAGCTTCCCTGATGCAGAAGCAAAACAGCCCCAAAGTATTTAGATGCTTTGTGCTGTTCTTTTCATCCTAGGCCTGGCGTTGACACAAAAATTTTGTTTCATCAGTGCATCCCCCCCCAGTGTCGAGAGCGAGAGAGTCAATAAGTGTGTATGTATGTGTAGTTATACACGGGGATATATATATATATATATATGCCACGACCAATTCTCTCTTGAATTTCGAATGATCTTCCACTCTCTCTTCACTCTCTATAGCCCCCTTCCTGTGAAGAGAAATCACCTCTCTTGTCTTCCTTCTCTCTTTTCCTCCTATCTCTCTCTTTCTCTTCCCCCCCCCTCTCCCCACACCTTTCTCCCCCCTCATTTCTCTACCCCCCCCTCTCTATCCCCCTCTCTAAAACCCCTCTCCCCCCACTCCCCCCTCTCTTCACCCCCTCTCTCTCCTCTTCCCCCCCTCTCTCATCCTTCACCCCCTCTCTCTCTCCCTCTCCTCTCTTCTCTCTCTCTTCATTCCCCCTCTCTCTCTTCATTACCTCTCTCTCTTCATCCCCTCTCTCTCTTCCCCCTCTTTCTCTCTTCATTCTCTCTCTCTCTTCATTCCCTCTCTCTTCACCCTCTTTCTCTCTATCTTCATTCCCTCTCTCGTCACCCTCTCTCTCTCTCTTCATTCCCTCTCTCTCTCTCTCTCCTCTATCTCCTCTATCTACATCCCTCTCTCTTCTCTCTCTCTCTCTTCTCTCTTTCCCCTTCTCTCTGTCCCCGCCCCCTCTCTATCTTCCCCTCTCTCTTCCCCTCTTTTCTCTTCCCCCTCTCTCTCTCTCTCTTCTCTCTCCCCTCACTCTCTCCCGGCTCATCAGCTGCTGGATGGACAGGTACAGGAGCATCGCTCTGCAACTGCCCTTCCCCACATCGATCCTCCTGCTGTCCTCCGGGCCACTGCAAGAGTACCGAAGGTACCCCTCTGCTGGCGGCCCTGCATGGCTCTGTCCGCCGCTGCTCTCAAGGTCCCTTCTTTCGGCGCCGCCCCCCTAAAAATTGCCACCCTAGGCAAAAGCCTTGTTTGCCTCATGGTAGATACGCCCTTGTGTGTGTATACATGTGTCTGTATGTGTGTGTGTGTACATGTGTCCCTATGCGTGTGTGTACATGTTTCTGTGTGTGTGTATGTACATGACTGTGTGTGTGTGTGTGTACAGGTGCCTCTGTTTTGTGTGTGTTTGTTGGTGGCGAGTAACTCTATGGCCTGGCTAGTAGCTCAGGAATTGAAATTTTAAGCCCTGGACTAGAGTATATAATCTTTATAATTTATAATCTTATGTATTCAGTTACATCCATTAACCTTTAAAAAGATCCTATTGAGGCCTTACTTTTTAAGCCACTTTGTGGCCTACCTCGTAGACCCCGCTCATTAATCAAATTTTTTTTTTATGGCTACTAAGCAGACTATTGCTGGTTCTTGGAAATCCCCAATTTGAGACAGCATTGCCTCATGTTTTTTTTTTTTGCTGCTTTCTTGTATGTAGCTTTTATATTTCTGAAAGTGGTTGCGGGCCTTGCGGCACTTTGCCTTCCATAGTGTTATCTGGACCCCAGCGTGGGTCTTGTATGTGTATCTCTGTGTTTGTTGTGTGATGTTTCCCTGTCCTCTATTGTTCGTTGTCGCTTTGTATCAAACAATTTGTCATGATTTGTATGTTTCTTTTAACATGCTTAATAAAATCTTTGGTAAAAGAAAAAAGGCCCTGATTCTTTCTTAGATACACAGAATATAACTGGATACTAACATTTATAGGTAAAGCTGATCCAGGGAATATCCGATTGCCTCTCGAGGGATCGGGAAGGACTTTTTTTTCCCTGCAGGAGCAAATTGGATCATGCTTTGCTGAGGTTTATCTGCCTTCCATTGGATCAACTGTGGGTATAGAATTATAACTTTGTTTTTTTTAATGGTTGAACTAGATGGACTTTTGTCTTTTTTTCCGCCAGACTAACTATGCAGCTATGTAACAATGTATCTTTAAACATGTCATTCAGTTATGTAGATCCAAATCAATGATGATGACTAGCCAAAAGGAAAAACTGGCACGTTCTGCTCTTGTCACGTACCACATACTCCTAGATTGTAAGCTCCAAGGAGCAGGGCCCTCCTATCCCTCTTGTATTGAACTGTATTGTTGCTGTATTGTCTCTCATTATATGTAAAGCGCTGAGCAAACTGTTGGCGCTATATAAATCATGTATAATAATAATTACATCTATTTGTCCCCACTGTTAAATGTAAACAAAGAGGTGTGGTCTTCCGGTGACATCATTGACAAAAATATAGATATAACCATAGTTGATGAGTGATGTCAGGAGGATCCACCTCATCCAATTGGAGAATGTACTGTATTCAATGAAAAAATACAAGGGGTTCTGTGAATAGTGATTCGCCAAGGAAGTGACCCCTATGGTTAGCATGCAGTGGGCCAGAGGATCACATTTTTTCTAAATCCTTGAGGCTTTATATACACGCCCATCCCTCTGTCCCAAAATTTTGCCCGCTGAGAGAACATGTGTCAATAAATGCATACTCTCCTTAGAACTCATCTACTGACAAATATAGTGTGCTGTGTGTTTCACCATTTTTACTCTATCCAAGCTCTATCATACTGCTCTATACCACTTATTATTATTATTATACAGTATTTATAAAGCGCCAATAGTTCGCTCAGCGCTGTACATTACAAAGGGGGACAGAACATGTGACAGAACAACAATACAATGCAAAACATGAGGGGATCGAGGGCCCTGCTCTTTCGAGCTTACAATCTAGGAGGGAGGGGATGGTGGCACAGGAGGAGATAGCTGTGGGGGGATGAGGCGGTAGGAAGAGTGGAGGAGGTTGGCAAGTTAGCAGGGGGTGGGGTAGGCTTCCCTGAAGAGGTGGGTTTTCAGGGTGCACCTAAAGGAGAGGAGAGTAGGTGATAATCTGATGGGTTGGGGCAGGGAGTTCTAGAGGATGGGTGACACCCTGGAGAAGTCTTCAGTTTTTCCCCCATGTACATCCTTAAAGGGTTTAAGGATTTTACATGGGGGAAAAACTGAAGGTTTAAAAGTGAAAGGAATTTTTCTGTTGAACATCTCAGCTAGACGGGGGGACTTTGATAAAGTTCTTCTCCAAAAAGAAAAATATTGGATATATATGTTAGATACATTGGTCCCTTATGGCTTGAATACAGAACTTAATTTCAAGGTTTTTTTGAATTAAGTAAAAGTTATATTTTTCATATACCAGACTTAATTGGTTTTGAAAATAGAACTCAGTTTCTTAATATTGTGCTTGGATTAAATAAAAGACCTATTTTATGGTTTGAGTTTTATCCACACTGCCGTCAAAAACAAAAGTATCTTTTGGTCTGAATTGGTTTATATATGGTGATTTTTGTCCTTGAAATAAGGCTCTCTCATTGTCACCATTAGTTTTGTATGACTTGTTATTTTAAATTGTAGTGATGGTTTCTTAACACAAGAGGGCGACAAAGATAAGAATGCAAGCAATTAGGGCACTATATAAGGCAATACAACACTTGTCCCTCCCAGTTCTGACGAAGTCTGCGGTGATTGGCGGACGAAACGCGGCAACGTGATGACATCATTACGCTCGGCGTCTCCATAGGGCGCGGTGCCCACGAGGAAGGAAGAAGCGGTTTGCTTCAGCTCCACACTGGAAAGGCAGGAGACATTTCAATTATGATGAGGATATCATCTAAAGCAGCCCGCACAGGGCAAACTTGAATCACAGCCTACTTCACCGGAGGCAAGTGTATAGCCGTCAGGCTTAATTAGGCTTTAGTGCTATCAACATTAATGGGTTATATATCTCCCCCTTTTTGGTAACCCTGTGCTTATTTACCCCTATTCAGGGGGAATTTTTTGATACTCCTATTGGAGAAAATATCGGTATATTACGATATATATGTGCTGTGGCATGCTTCTACAGTCTCAAATATTTTTCTAAGGAACCGCATTTGCTTTCTCATTATTGAGCAATTTTTGGAAACCCAGATTTGGGTCTATATATTCATGTATACATAGACTGTATCATCCAGTCTGGACTTTACATATTGACTACCTGGCTGTCTACCCCCCATATTCACTTTTCTATCCAGACCTGATCTTATTTCAAGTGAGGAAGAGTCCTCCTGATCTTCTGAATGGTAATATTTTTTAGTTTTTTACCCTAATTTCTGCTTTATTCAGGTCTGTTGGTAGTTTCATATTCATGTTTCACATTCATGTATCTTTAGAATCACCTACTTTTGTGGATACATTGCTATTTGGGGTGGTTATCCAGGAAGGCCATATATCCATCTTTATATGATGGTCAAGCTCATGAGAAGGTAATGGAATAACATATATATATACCTGTTATGGGACAGTTTTGTTATTGCATATGGTTAGCATATACTCCTTATTATCTGTTCCCTCTACTATGATCTTTATATTTTTTTCTGGTTTTTCCATTTTCAGGAGGTCATTCTATTCAAGGTGGTGGTCACCAAAACATCTTTTGAAGAATGTTCCCCCTTTGCAGACACTATATGGAAAATATGGAAATCCTTTGATCTAGTAGTTAGGAAACTTATTGCCTTATGTGGATTCCTGATTGCCGGATATTATTTCTGGAGACGCCGAATGTTTTTAAATTCAGTGATTTTATAAAGATTTGTTTACCATGTCTCTGTCTAATCTCAATATGATCCATGTGATCAAATAAAACTTGTTTGTTAAATATTCAAAAATATATTACTCCGCTTGGATTTTCTAATAACCACTCTTTGTGAGCAGTGTTGTTCTTGTCATGCTGCTATGTTTTATGTAAAGCTTTTGGGTTTAGAAATCCACACTAATTATTAGTGAGACG